CTACTACGCTATACTACACAGTAACACAGTTCTACTACACGGTACCACACTGGAACACAGCTATACTACACAGTTCTACTACACAGTACCACGCACTGTAGCACAGCTATGCTACACGCAATTCTACTACACAGCTATACTACACGGCTATACTGCACGGCTCTACTACACAGCTATACTACACAGCTATACTACACACAGTTCTACTACACAGCTATACTACACGGCTATACTCACATAGGCTATACTACACCAGCTATACTACACAGCTATACTACACGGGTACCACGCTGGAACACAGCTATACTACACAGTAACACAGTTCTACTACACAGTACCACACTGGAACACAGCTATACTACACAGTTCTACTACACAGTACCACACTGTAGCACAGCTATACTACACAGTTCTACTACACAGTACCACACTGGAACACAGCTATACTACACAGTTCTGCTACACGGTACCACACTGGAACACAGCTATACTGCACACAGCTATACTACACTAGTAACACAGTTCTACTACACAGTACCACACTGGAACACAGCCTATACTACACAGTAACACGAGTTCCTGGTACACAGTACCACACTGGAACACAGCTATACTACACAGTTCTACTACACAGCTATACTACACAGTAACACAGCTATACTACACAGTAACACAGTTCTACTACACAGTACCACACTGTAGCACAGCTATACTACACAGTACCACACTGTAGCACAGCTATACTACACAGTTCTACTACACAGTACCACACTGGAACACAGCTATACTACACAGTTCTACTACACAGTACCACACTGGAACACAGCTATACTACCACAGTTCTACTACACAGCTATACTACACAGTAACACAGCTATACTACACAGTAACACAGTTCTACTACACGGTACCACACTGGAACACAGCTATACTACACAGTTCTACTACACAGTACCACACTGTAGCACAGCTATACTACACAGTTCTACTACACAGTACCACACTGGAACACAGCTATACTACACAGTTCTACTACACAGTACCACACTGGAACACAGCTATACTACACAGTTCTACTACACAGTACCACACTGGAACACAGCTATACTACACAGTTCTACTACACAGTACCACACTGTAGCACAGCTATACCACACAGTTCTACTACACAGTACCACACTGTAGCACAGCTATACTACACAGTAACACAGTTCTACTACACAGTACCACACTGGAACACAGCTATACTACACAGTTCTACTACACAGTACCACACTGTAGCACAGCTATACTACACAGTAACACAGTTCTACTACACAGTACCACACTGGAACACAGCTATACTACACAGTTCTACTACACAGTACCACACTGGAACACTGTAGCTATACTACACAGTAACACAGTTCTACTACACAGTACCACACTGGAACACAGCTGTACCACTGGCCAGGAGGGCAGCAGGTGCTCTCTGACACACATACTGTTGGCTAGATGTGCTCCTGTATGCGATGTGTATTGACTGCACGGCCTCTCATTAAGGAGCTCAACTGAATGCTTCTTGTATGAACCTGAACAGCCCTTTATTCTGAGGCCAGTAGGCAGTCGATACATGAAATATACAGGCTGGCTTTACAGCGTTGTTGCTCAGTGCACATAGGTTGTACTAGAAAAGTGTACCAGTTTTAGATGTGTTTGTGACACTGTGAGATGTGTGTCTGACACTGTGAGATGTGTGTCCAGAACACAGCAGTATTGCCTCTGTCTAGGTGTGGCCGAGGTTTGTGTGGAGTGAAGCAGAACGCTGTGTTACTGTGAGGATGTTATCACAGCTTGTCATGGTTGACTGACTACCTCCACAACCCACACACAACATGGAATATACTGACATTATGCTGTTTGAAAGCAGCGACTTGGAGATATCAGTGGCAAGTATATGTGGTCCTTGAGCTGCCAATAGGCCTCTTGATTCATTTGTCTGATAACAAGAACGATGTATATTGATCATAGCAACTCGACCCTACAGATGAGTCAGCCATGTTAAAGTGAGCCTGACATATACCATTGGAGAATGTGTAGTGTATGTAATATCATGACAAGACAATATATAGTTTGTGTTATACCATGATAAGACAGTATATAGTTTGTGTTATACCATGATAAGACAGTATATAGTTTGTGTTATACCATGATAAGACAGTATATAGTTTGTGTTATACCATAAGACAGTATATAGTTTGTGTTATACCATGATAAGACAGTATATAGTTTGTGTTATACCATGATAAGACAATATAATTTGTGTGAAACCATAAGACAATATATAGTTTGTGTTATACCATAAGACAGTATATAGTTTGTGTTATACCATAAGACAGTATATAGTTTGTGTTATACCATGATAAGACAGTATATAGTTTGTGTCATACCATGATAAGACAGTATATAGTTTGTGTCATACCATGATAAGGCAGTATGTAGCTTGTGTTATACCATATGACAGTATACAGTTTGTGTCATACAATGATAAAACAGTATGTAGCTTGTTTTATACCATAAGACAGTATATAGTTTGTTTTATACCATAAGACCGTATATAGTTTGTGTTATACCATGATAAGACAGTATATAGTTTGTGTTATACCATGATAAGACAGTATATAGTTTGTGTCATACCATAAGACAGTATATAGTTTGTGTTATACCATAAGACAGTATATAGTTTGTGTTATACCATGATAAGACAGTATATAGTTTGTGTTATACCATGATAAGACAGTATATAGTTTGTTTTATACCATAAGACAGTATATAGTTTGTTTTATACCATAAGACCGTGATATAGTTTGTTATACCATGATAAGACAGTATATAGTTTGTTTTATACCATAAGACAGTATATAGTTTGTGTTATACCATAAGACAGTATATAGTTTGTGTTATACCATGATAAGACAGTAAATAGTTTGTGTCATACCATGATAAGACAGTATATAGTTTGTGTCATACCATGATAAGACAGTATATAGTTTGTGTTATACCATAAGACAGTATATAGTTTGTGTTATACTATGATAAGACAGTATATAGTTTGTGTTATACCATGATAAGACAGTATATAATTTGTGTGAAACCATAAGACAATATATAGTTTGTGTTATACCATGATAAGACAGTATATAGTTTGTGTCATACCATGATAAGACAGTATATAGTTTGTGTCATACCATGATAAGGCAGTATGTAGCTTGTGTTATACCATAAGACAGTATATAGTTTGTGTCATACAATGATAAAACAGTATGTAGCTTGTTTTATACCATAAGACAGTATATAGTTTGTGTTATACCATAAGACAGTATATAGTTTGTGTTATACCATAAGACCGTATATAGTTTGTGTTATACCATAAGACAGTATATAGTTTGTGTCATACCATCATAAGACAGTATATAGTTTGTGTTATACCATGATAAGACAGTATATAGTTTGTGTTATACCATGATAAGACAGTATATAATTTGTGTGAAACCATAAGACAGTATATAGTTTGTGTTATACCATAAGACAGTATATAGTTTGTGTTATACCATAAGACAGTATATAGTTTGTGTTATACCATGATAAGACAGTATATAGTTTGTGTTATACCATGATAAGACAGTATATAATTTGTGTGAAACCATAAGACAGTATATAGTTTGTGTTATACCATAAGACAGTATATAGTTTGTGTTATACCATAAGACAGTATATAGTTTGTGTTATACCATGATAAGACAGTATATAGTTTGTGTTATACCATGATAAGACAGTATATAATTTGTGTGAAACCATAAGACAGTATATAGTTTGTGTTATACCATAAGACAGTATATAGTTTGTGTTATACCATAAGACAGTATATAGTTTGTGTTATACCATGATAAGACAGTATATAGTTTGTGTCATACCATGATAAGACAGTATATAGTTTGTTTTATACCATAAGACAAACTATAGTTTGTTATACCATGATAAGACAGTATGTAGCTTGTGTTATACTACGATAACACAGTGTATAGTTTGTGTTATACCATGATAAGACAATATATAGTGTATTTTCATACAATGATAAGACAATGTATAGTGTATGTCATACCTTGAGCAATTCATATGACACCAGAGACTGACTCAAGGAGTTTTGTTTGTGATCTAGTTAGTTATCTCTCACTCTGTGTGTGGTGTCTTTTGGACACCTCAATGTGTGTGGTGTTTGTTGGACACCTCAATCTGTGTGGTGTCTGTTGGAAAACCTCATTGTGTGTGGTGTCTGTTGGACACCTCAGTGTGTGTGGTGTTTGTTGGACACCTCAATGTGTGTGGTGTCTGTTGGACACCTCAATATGTGTGGTGTTTGTTGGACACCTCAATGTGCATGGTGTCTGTTGGACACCTAAGTATGCATGGTGTCTCATGGACACCTCAGTGTGTGTGGTGTCTATTGGACACTTCAGTATGGAGATGTAATGTCTGTGGAACACCACGATTTGTGGCTGGCGTCTGTGTCCAAGTCTGGTATAATCTGATGATTATGTCTGTTACAGGACAGTGGGCAGCTGTCAGACAGCGCGATGTGTGGCTGACGTCTGTGTCCAAGTCTGGTATAATCTGATGATTATGTCTGTTACAGGACAGTGGGCAGCTGTCAGACAGTGCGATGTGTGGCTGACGTCTGTGTCCAAGTCTGGTATAATCTGATGATTATGTCTGTTACAGGACAGTGGGCAGCTGTCAGACAGTGCGATGTGTGGCTGACGTCTGTGTCCAAGTCTGATATAATCTGATGATTATGTCTGTTACAGGACAGTGGGCAGCTGTCAGACAGTGCGATGTGTGGCTGACGTCTGTGTCCAAGTCTGGTATAATCTGATGATTATGTCTGTTACAGGACAGTGGGCAGCTGTCAGACAGCGCGATGTGTCCAAGTCTGGGATAATTGATGATTATGTCTGTTACAGGACAGTGAGCAGCTGTCAGACAGCGCGATGTGTGGCGACCCGACGGTGTCCTCTATGGCTGGGAGTAAGAAGGACAAGACTTGCCTGGTATGCGGTGATCGCGCTCTTGGCTACAACTTCAATGCCATTTCTTGCGAGTCCTGCAAAGCTTTCTTCCGGAGGAATGCACACAAGGTGAGCATGACTTAACACATGAGATAGTAACTTGACAAGTGAGACAGTAGCACACAAGGTGAGCATGACTTAACACATGAGATAGTAACTTGACACATGAGATAGTAACTTGACAAGTGAGACAGTAGCACACAAGGTGAGCATGACTTGACACATGAGATAGTAACTTGACACATGAGATAGTAACTTGACACATGAGATAGTAGCACATATAGTGAGAGTGACTTGACACATGAGATAGTAACTTGACAAGTGAGACAGTAGCACATATAGTGAGAGTGACTTGACACATGAGATAGTAACTTGACAAGTGAGACAGTAGCACATATAGTGAGAGTGACTTGACACATGAGATAGTAACTTGACACATGAGATAGTAACTTGACAAGTGAGACAGTAGCACATATAGTGAGAGTGACTTGACACATGAGATAGTAACTTGACACATGAGATAGTAACTAACTTGACAAGTGAGACAGTAGCACATATAGTGAGAGTGACTTGACACATGAGATAGTAACTTGACAAGTGAGACAGTAGCACATATAGTGAGAGTGACTTGACACATGAGATAGTAACTTGACAAGTGAGACAGTAGCACATATAGTGAGAGTGACTTGACACATGAGATAGTAACTTGACAAGTGAGACAGTAGCACATATAGTGAGAGTGACTTGACACATGAGATAGTAACTTGACAAGTGAGACAGTAGCACATATAGTGAGAGTGACTTGACACATGAGATAGTAACTTGACAAGTGAGACAGTAGCACATATAGTGAGAGTGACTTGACACATGAGATAGTAACTTGACAAGTGAGACAGTAGCACATATAGTGAGAGTGACTTGACACATGAGATAGTAACTTGACAAGTGAGACAGTAGCACATATAGTGAGAGTGACTTGACACATGAGATAGTAACTTGACAAGTGAGACAGTAGCACATATAGTGAGAGTGACTTGACACATGAGATAGTAACTTGACAAGTGAGACAGTAGCACATATAGTGAGAGTGACTTGACACACAAAGTGAGAGAGTGACTTGACACACAAAGTGAGAGAGTGACTTGACACACAATGTGTGAGAGTGACTTCACACAAAGTGAGAATAACTTGACACACAAAGTAAGAGTGGCTAAAACCCACAAAGTGAGAGTGACTTGACACACAAAGTGAGAGAATGACTTGACACACAAAATGAGAGTGACTTGACACACAAAGTAAGAGTGACTTGACACACAAAGTGAGAGTTACTTGACACACAAAGTGAGAGCAACTTGACACTCAAAGTGAGAGTGACCTCACACGCAAAGTCAGTGACTTGACACACAAAGTGAGAGTGACTTGACACACAAAGTGAGAGAGTGACTTGACACGCAAAGTGAGAATAACTTGACACACAAAGTGAGAATAATTGACACACAATGTGAGAGAGTGACTTGACACGCAAAGTGAGAATAACTTGACACACAAAGTGAGAATGACTTGACACACAAAGTGAGAGTGTCCTGACACACAAAGTTAGAGTGACTTGACACACAAAGTGAGAGTGACCTGACACACAAAGTGAGAGTGACTTGACACACAAAGTGAGAGTGACCTGACACACAAAGTAAGAGTGACTTGACACACAAAGTGAGAGTGACTTGACACACAAAGTGAGAGTGACTTGACACACAAAGTAAGAGTGACTTGACACACAAAGTGAGAGTGACTTGATGCACAAAGTGAGAGTGACCTGACACACAAAGTGAGAGTGACTTGACACACAAAGTGAGAGTGACTTGACACACAAAGTAAGAGTGACTTGACACACAAAGTGAGAGTGACTTGATGCACAAAGTGAGAGTGACCTGACACACAAAGTGAGAGTGACTTGACACACAAAGTGAGAGTGACCTGACACACAAAGTTAGAGTGTCCTGACACACAAAGTGAGAGTGACTTGACACACAAAGTGAGAGTGACCTGACACACAAAGTTAGAGTGTCCTGACACACAAAGTTAGAGTGACTTGACACACAAAGTGAGAGTGACTTGACACACAAAGTGAGAGTGACCTGACACACAAAGTGAGAGTGACTTGACACACAAAGTGAGAGTGACCTGACACACAAAGTTAGAGTGACTTGACACACAAAGTGAGAGTGACTTGACACACAAAGTTAGAGTGACTTGACACACAAAGTGAGAGTGACTTGATGCACAAAGTGAGAGTGACCTGACACACAAAGTGAGAGTGACTTGACACACAAAGTGAGAGTGACCTGACACACAAAGTTAGAGTGTCCTGACACACAAAGTGAGAGTGACTTGACACACAAAGTGAGAGTGACCTGACACACAAAGTTAGAGTGTCCTGACACACAAAGTTAGAGTGACTTGACACACAAAGTGAGAGTGACTTGACACACAAAGTGAGAGTGACCTGACACACAAAGTTAGAGTGACCTGACACACAAAGTGAGAGTGTCCTGACACACAAAGTGAGAGTGACTTGATGCACAAAGTTAGAGTGACTTGACACACAAAGTTAGAGTGACTTGACACACAAAGTGAGAGTGACTTGATGCACAAAGTGAGAGTGACCTGACACACAAAGTGAGAGTGACTTGACACACAAAGTGAGAGTGACCTGACACACAAAGTTAGAGTGTCCTGACACACAAAGTGAGAGTGACTTGACACACAAAGTGAGAGTGACCTGACACACAAAGTTAGAGTGTCCTGACACACAAAGTTAGAGTGATTTGACACACAAAGTGAGAGTGACTTGACACACAAAGTGAGAGTGACCTGACACACAAAGTTAGAGTGACCTGACACACAAAGTGAGAGTGTCCTGACACACAAAGTGAGAGTGACTTGATGCACAAAGTTAGAGTGACTTGACACACAAGGTGAGAGTGACTTGACACACAAAGTGAGAGTGACTTGATGCACAAAGTTAGAGTGACTTGACACACAAAGTTAGAGTGACTTGACACACAAAGTGAGAGTGACCTGACACACAAAGTGAGAGTGACCTGACACACAAAGTGAGAGTGACTTGATGCACAAAGTGAGAATAACATGACACACAAAGTGAGAGTAGCTTTACACACAAAGTGAGACTGACTTGACACACAAGGTGAGAGTGACCTCAAACACAAAGTGAGAGTGACCTGACACACAGAGTGAAAGTGACTTGACACACAATTTGAGACTGACCTGACATGCAAAGTGAGAATAACTTGACACACAAAGTGAAAGTGACTTGACACACAAAGTGAGAATGACCTGACACACAAAGTGAAAGTGACTTGACACACAGAGTGAGCGTGACTTAACACACAATGTGAGAGTGACTTGACACACAAAGTGAGCGTGACTTGACACACAATGTGAGAGTGATTTGACACACAAAGTGAGATTGACTTGACACAAAAAAGTGAGAGTGACTTGACACACAAAGATGACTCACATGAACACATGGCAACTTATGTTGTTGATGTTGCAGACAATCCGGGGCCGCTGTGAGGGCAAGTGTGACGTCAACATTGAGTCACGGTCATTCTGTAAGCGCTGTCGTCTGGCCAAGTGCTACACTGTTGGCATGAGGAAGGACATGATTCTGAGTAAGTTGCCTCCCTAGATGGCTGCACTAACACAACTATGTCTCTACAGTAAGTTGCCTCCCTAGATGGCTGCACTAACACAACTGTGTCTCTACAGTAAGTTGCCTCCCTAGATGGCTGCACTAACACACAACTATGTCTCTACAGTAAGTTGCCTCCCTAGATGGCTGCACTAACACACAACTATGCCTCTACAGTAAGTTGCCTCCCTAGATGGCTGCACTAACACACAACTATGTCTCTACAGTAAGTTGCCTCCCTACATGGCTGCACTAACACAACTGTGTCTCTACAGTAAGTTGCCTCCCTAGATGGCTGCACTAACACACAACTATGTCTCTACAGTAAGTTGCCTCCCTAGATGGCTGCACTAACACACAACTATGCCTCTACAGTAAGTTGCCTCCCTAGATGGCTGCACTAACACACAACTGTGTCTCTACAGTAAGTTGCCTCCCTAGATGGCTGCACTAACACACAACTGTGTCTCTACAGTAAGTTGCCTCCCTAGATGGCTGCACTAACACACAACTATGTCTCTACAGTAAGTTGCCTCCCTAGATGGCTGCACTAACACACAACTGTCTCTACAGTAAGTTGACTCCCTAGATGGCTGCACTAACACACAACTATGTCTCTGCAGTAAGCTACAGTCAGGACTTACCACATATGATGAATGTCAACGATAGACATACAATCTTTTCATTATGAGTACTGTCTGACGACGTTAGTTTCAATAACCGATTATTTGTGTGTGCGTGTGTGCGTGTGAACTGAACTGTTTCGTGTTGAGCCCCAAATTGAATCAGGACTTGTTGTGAAAAAATTAACTAAGTTTGTATTCTAAAACTAACTGAACTACTAGCTACGAAGGTATTACAGTGGCAGCTCTGTACAGGGTGACAGTAGTGACTGAACTACTAGCTACGAAGGTATTACAGTGGCAGCTCTGTACAGGGCTTACAGTGGCAGCTCTGTACAGGGCGACAGTAGTGACTGAACTACTAGCTACGAAGGTATTACAATGGCAGCTCTGTGCAGGGCGACAGTAGTGACTGAACTACTAGCTACGAAGGTATTACAATGTAACAACAATCACAGTAATATTCATGTGACTGTAACAATGTAACAACAAGACAATAATATTCATCTGACTGTAACAATGTAACAACAAGACAATAATATTCATCTGACTGTAACAATGTAACAACAATGACAGTAATATTCATGTGACTGTAACAATGTAACAAGACAATAATATTCATCTGACTGTAACAATGTAACAACAATGAAAATAATATTCATGTGACTGTAACAATGTAACAACAATGTGACTGTAACAATGTAACAATGTAACAACAATCACAGTAATATTCATGTGACTGTAACAATGTAACAAGACAATAATATTCATCTGACTGTAACAATGTAACAACAATGACAATAATATTCATCTGACTGTAACAATGTAACAACAATCACAGTAATATTCATGTGACTGTAACAATGTAACAAGACAATAATATTCATGTGACTGTAACAATGTAACAACAATGACAATAATATTCATCTGACTGTAACAATGTAACAACAATCACAGTAATATGCATGTGACTGTAACAATGTAACAACAATGACAATAATATTCATGTGACTGTAACAATGTAACAACAATGACAATAATATTCATCTGACTGTAACAATGTAACAACGACAATAATATTCATCTGACTGTAACAATGTAACAACAAGACAATAATATTCATGTGACTGTAACAATGTAACAACAATCACAGTAATATTCATCTGACTGTAACAATGTAACAACAATGACAATAATATTCATCTGACTGTAACAATGTAACAACAATCACAGTAATATTCATGTGACTGTAACAATGTAACAACAATGACAATAATATTCATGTGACTGTAACAATGTAACAACAATGACAATAATATTCATCTGACTGTAACAATGTAACAACAATGACAGTAATATTCATCTGACTGTAACAATATTCTGGTTTCCAACATACGCTAGGTGAGAATGATCTCCACAGCGTTGCTGACTTTGTGTAGCCTGAGATGTAATGTGAGATGAGAGGCATGCTCCAGATTACCTGTCAACAGGTACAATGTATTACACTGGGGAGATTATCACAACTTTACAATGCTGGTGCGTGTGTGTGAGAGAGAGAGTGTGTGTGTGAGAGAGAACTTGTACAGTGTTAGTGTGCATGAGTGGATACATGTGTGTGACAGAAAACTCATAGTGTTTGTGTGTGTGAACTTGCACAATGTTGGTGTGTGTGTGTGTGTATGTGTGAACATGTATAGTGTGTGTGTCAACTTGTGCAGTGTTGGTGTGTGTGTGTTTTTGTGGGTGAACTTGCACAATGTTGGTGTGTGTGTGTAAATTTGCACAATGTTGGTGTGTGTGTAAATTTGCACAATGTTGGTGTGTGTGTGTGTGTGTGTAAACTTGCACAATGTTGGTGTGTGTGTGTAAACTTGCACAATGTTGGTGTGTGTGTATACTTGCACAATGTTGGTGTCTGTGTGTGTAATCTTGCACAATGTTGGTGTGTGTGCGTGCGTGCATGCACGTGTAAGTGAATGTGTGTGTGAACTGGCACAGTGTTGGTGTGTGTGCGTGCGTGCATGCATGCACGTGTAAGTGAATGTGTCTGTAAACTGGCACAATGTTGGTGTGTGTGCGTGCGTGCATGCAATTGTAAGTGAATGTGTCTGAAACTGGCACAGTGTTGGTGTGTGTGATTGCGTGAGTGCATGCACGTGTACACTTTGAACATTGTTGCTCATTGACTAACACTACCACATAAGAAGACTCATACAATGTTGGTGTGTGTGTGTGTGTGTGTGTGTAAACTTGCACAATGTTCGTGTGTGTAAGGGACAGATTCAATAGTAGTTGTGTGGTAACTGATATTGTTACTTGGTGTGAGAACTGATAGGTGTTACTCTAGGTGTGAGGACAGATTCAATAGTAGTTGTGTGGTAACTGATATTGTTACTTGGTGTGAGAACTGATACAGTATTGGTGTGTGAGGACAGATTCAATAGTAGTTGTGTGGTTACTGATATTGTTACTTGGTGTGAGTACTGATACAGTATTGGTGTGTGTGAGGACAGATTCAATAGTAGTTGTGTGATGTTACTGAGACATTGCTGTGAGAGGACTGACAAGATACTGTTGTATGTTTTAAGGTGACGAACAGAAGAAAATGAGGAAGACCAAGATCATCATGAACAAACTGCGTCGCCAGGGTCAGATGGCGCCGGAGGACACATACTCAGCATCAGAAAGTGACCTTACTGGGTCGCCACGGGGGGTGGTCACCCGAGCAGACAGCTGGCCGGAGTCTTCCAAAGACTTTGAGAAGTATCGGAAGCTAAAGCTGGAGGATAGTCCCGGAGCCTGCTCCCACAGCAGCGGTCAGGATGAGCGGGTCATCAAATATCCTCCATGGCTGGAGTGTGCTGAAGTGGTCAGTGGCGTCATTCAGCAGCTGAAGGATGATGACAGGAAGCTGATGCAGGAGCTGATGACGGCTCACGAGAACAGCCAGTTTCTGTCTGGAACCACCACCAGTCTCAAACTCATTCCTTCAAATCCCACAGAGTTTGTGAATGTAGCTGAAGGCTTTGTAAGACGGGTAATCAAGGTTGCAAAAAATATTGCCTTCTTTAAGGAACTTTGTAAAGATGATCAGATTGCATTGTTGAAGGGGTCCGTCGTAGATATCATGATGTTGCGGTCGGCAGTGAATTATGATCCCTACACAGAGTCCTGGAGTCTGAGCACAATGAACTGCCTCATCCAGGGCAGTACCAGCGACAACATCGGCGAACGCATCAGCGCTGAGGTCCTCAAGATGGGCAGCTCGGAGTCAGCTAGCCTCTTCTTCACATATTCCAAGTTCATCAAATCTTTGATGAGCACCATCCATGGTGACCTGATTGTGTTGAAGATCCTCATCATCATGTCGCTGTTCTCAGCTGACCGCGGGTCCCTGGTCAACCAGGAACAGGTGCACGGATTTCAGGAACAGTACGCTCACATCCTGCAACAATACATCCTTCTGAGGTTCCCTGAAGAGAAGACGCTGTTTGCACGGGTTGTCATGAAGCTCACTGACCTGCGGAACATCAATGAAGTTCACACAAAAATGTTGCTTAAGATGAAAGTAGAAGACATAGAACCTCTTCTTCTGGAGATATTTGATCTGCCCTTGTGATGGGTGTACCTCTGAGGGGCAGAAGCATATTTAACTAGTTCTGAAGGTCTGCCCTTGTGCTGGGGAGAAAGGAACTAAAGCATGTGTGAGTCAGGGATAGTGACCAAAGTCACAGATGTGGGGCGGGGTCCAGGGAAGGGGGAGGCTGGACCAGGTGCCGATGTGTTGTGATGCTATTGGATATCATGTACAAACTGCAGGATTACTCCCGCTGCTGGCAGGGGCATCTCCACAGGCCGCTCCAGTGTAGATGCAGGGGCAGTGAGGACGTATTGTTGTACATTCTAGATGACAACATAATGATACATAACGGCCCAGTCTGCCTTTCCGTAATACATGCTCAAGCTCATCTTGCCTGGAGAACACCTGAGATTGTATATCTGCATAAAGTGTATATCATATTGATGTTAGACATCAGATGGGATATCTACATTTGAATGTATATATCTTGCAAGTCAGATGACACGTGAGATGAGAGTGTACATAAGTAGGATGGTCCGGTGTATCTGCCTCATTTTGACATACAATAATAATCCGTCGATTGTGAAAGTATGTTCTGGGTTTACGTTATGTTTCTTTGGAAGAAGACGGGTCGTGCGGGAGACACACAGGAGGAGGTTTTCTCCTTGACTCACATAGGGCCTGATTAGTTTTACCTGATTTTTCAGTTCTTCTGGAAGAAGCATAAAATTACTGAACTATGTTGCTGTGGCTGGTCTCATCAGCCAATCTTGTTTAAAAATTTGTTTGCATAATAGACATACTATTTGGAAACCTGCCTTTCCTACACATTGACACTCATAATTAGAAAGGGATTAGAAAAACTAAGTTACTTCTAAAGGTTGTATATTAAATAGCTGGTGTATATACTGGTATCACACTGCTGGTGTATATATACTGGTATCACACAGCTGGTGTATATATACTGGTATCACACAGCTGGTGTATATATACTGGTATCACACAGCTGGTGTATATACTGGTATCACACAGTTGGTGTGTATATACTGGTATCACATAGCTGGTGTATATACTGGTATCACACTGCTGGTGTATATACTGGTATCACACTGCTGGTGTATATATACTGGTATCACACAGCTGGTGTATATACTGGTATCACACAGCTGGTGTATATATACTGGTATCACACAGCTGGTGTATATACTGGTATCACACAGTTGGTGTGTATATACTGGTATCACATAGCTGGTGTATATATACTGGTATCACACTGCTGGTGTATATACACACACAGTTGGTGTATATACTGGTATCACATAGCTGGTGTATATACTGGTATCACACTGCATATACTGGTGCTGGTGTATATACTGGTATCACACTGCTGGTGTATATATACTGGTATCACACTGCTGGTGTATATACTGGTATCACGCTGGTGTATATATACTGGTATCACACAGCTGGTGTATATACTGGTATCACACAGCTGGTGTATATACTGGTATCACACAGCTGGTGTATATACTGGTATCACACAGTTGGTGTGTATATACTGGTATCACATAGCTGGTGTATATATACTGGTATCACACTGCTGGTGTATATATACTGGTATCACACAGCTGGTGTATATACTGGTATCACACAGCTGGTGTATATACTGGTATCACACTGCTGGTGTATATACTGGTATCACACTGCTGGTGTATATACTGGTATCACACTGCTGGTGTATATATACTGGTATCACACAGCTGGTGTATATACTGCTATCACACAGCTGGTGTATATACTGGTATCACACAGTTGGTGTGTATATACTGGTATCACACAGCTGGTGTGTATATACTGGTATCACACTGCTGGTGTTTATATACTGGTATCACACAGCTCGTGTATATACTGGTATCACACTGCTGGTGTATATATACTGGTATCACACAGCTGGTGTATATACTGGTATCACACTGCTGGTGTATATACTGGTATCACGCTGCTGGTGTTTATATACTGGTGTCACACTGCTGGTGTATACACTGGTATCATACAGCTGGTGTATATACTGGTATCATACAGCTGGTGTATATATACTGGTATCACAAAGCTGGTGTATATATACTGGTATCACACTGCTGGTGTATATACTGGTATCACACAGCTGGTGTATATATACTGGTATCACACTGCTGGTGTATATACTGGTATCACACAGCTGGTGTATATACTGGTATCACATAGCTGGTGTATATACTGGTATCACACTGCTGGTGTATATACTGGTATCACACAGCTGGTGTATTCCTCAACAGCAAGATTTGAAGATTGTTTTTTATTTCTGTCATACCAGGCAGATAAGCATTAGACCGAGGATGTACATACGTTGTTGCCACCACACCAGTGCCATGTGTTTTAACCAATACTGTGCCATGAGATATATATATATATATCCTAATACTTGTTATATACTTAAGAGTTTACCACTGTTGATAGTGTTCAGCTTAACGAATTTTACATAATACATGTCAAGGGCTAGTGATACTTGTTTGATGACCATGTCAGGGGCATTATTCTCCCTCCTTGTCTTAGTATAGTGGTTCACTGTATAGTGGTTCACTGTATAGTGGTTCACTGTATAGTCTGTTGCCATTCAGTCCTTGCACAGATACAGCTAAGGGAGATAACTTGGATTGCTGTGCAAATGTCCCATCCAGGGGAGATAACTCTGTTTTGATAGGACAGAATCAGGTTGTACAATACAATAGCTTTACCTTCATGAAAGGGAGACCACTCTTGACTACCTTCAAGAAGATATCAGCTTACATCAGGTGTAGTGCTATATTGTCAGATTCTGATTTTAAGTGTTCACAAGGTATTTCCAAATGTATTTTTGTGATATTCAAGTTTTGTTTGTTGGCAACTCCACTCATAGGTTCAGCACTTTCTGCAGTAGCCAATGAAATCACTCTAACTAGAATGTGTAGTTTGTTACAACGAAGATTTAGATTCTGTTTGTATTCACATTGGCCCAATGTTTCTCTGTTAGTGTTTGTGGTTTCTGAGATGGTATTATTTGTTTCTAACTCAAAACATTATTTTCTTAGAATTTTTAATATAACTATTTATATTTGAGTTACACACTAACATTCCTCATGTATTTTCACAATTAGTTAAACATTGATCATGGAGCAACCGTCACAGGTTGTGTAGAGCTGTAGCCTGCCTCTCATCAGGGTTATTGATCCACTGCATGAATCATTGATCAGTGTTCACGGAGCTCCATGGCCTTACTGATCCTTCACCTAGCAGGTTGACCTTCGGGTCAAGCTCCCCAACAAATATTAGTCTCCAGAAGAATCAGGGACGAATCGACTTCACCTTACTGCTTTTTGTTACTGGAGTTACCTTTGTAATTTATTTGAAAATACTTTTATTAGGAAATACTTCTGTTACTGGAGATGTGAGTGGGTATATATTATATCCTTTGTTTCATGACATTGTCCTTTGTTTCATGACATTGTCCTTTGTTTCAACCCATCTTCATGGATTGTCCTTTGTGTCATGACAGTGTGTCCCTTGTTTCATGATGGTGTATCCTTTGTTTCATGGATTGTCCTTTGCAGAGATGCCAACCCATACGATTTTATTGTATTCGTTACGAAAAAACAACACAAAATACGCGACTACAATAGCATTATTAATATACGAATTTAAAAAAAAAATACATTAAATTAAATTAATAGCATATGGGTACCATACACAATAAATTGCAACCACTTTTTATTCAGTATCAAGCAATATGTGGATACTTACTACTGATTTAGGTGAGTACATTGTTGATAACAAGTTCTAAGAATATCTATATATTCTGTGTTAAATATGAAAATTATTTGGAAAGGTTAATACTAATTTTTGCATTATTTTTGGCTAAATTAGGGTTGGCATCTCTGCCTTTGTTTCATGACATAGTCCATTGATTCATGACATAGTCTTTTGTTTTTATAATGCTTTGCTTGATCCCAGTCTCCATTGTTTATTCCATTGCCCTTGTTTTGTTCAGTATTAGTGAGAACAACAGAACCCATTGTTGTCTGTCAATTCTCTGTGTAGTCTTAACCCCAGATATATGTTAACACACACCAGTCCCTGTAGGAACCCCTCCCTTAGTTACCTGTAAACCCAGGAATCCCTCCCCTAGTTACATGTAAACCAAGAACCCTTCCCCTAGTTACATGTAAACCAAGGAAACCCTCCCCTAGTTACCTGTAAACCCAGGAATCCCTCCCCTAGTTACATGTAAACCAAGAACCCCTCCCCTAGTTACATGTAAACCCAAGAACCCCTCCCCTAGTTACATGTAAAACCAAGAACCCTTCCCCTAGTTACATGTAAACCAAGGAACCCTCCCTAGTTACCCTGTTAACCCAAGAACCCCTCCCCTAGTTACATGTAAACCCAAGAACCCCTCCCCTAGTTACATGTAAACCCAAGAACCACTCCCCTAGTTACATGTAAACCCATGAACCCCTCCCCTAATTACATGTAACACCACTCCCCTAGTTACATGTAAACCATGAACCCTAATTACACGTAAATCCTGAAACCCTCCCCTAGTTACATGTAAACCAAGGAACCCCTCCCCTAGTTACATGTAAACCCAGGAACCCCTCCCCTAATTACACGTAAATCCTGAAACCCTACCCTAGTTACATCTAAACCCAGGAACCACTCCCCTAGTTACATGTAACCCCAGGAACCCCTCCCCTAGTTACATCTAAACCCAGGAACCCCTCCCATAGTTACATGTAAACCCTGAACCCCACCCCTAGTTACATGTAAACCCAGGAACCACTCCCCTAGTTACATGTAAACCCACCCCAACTGCATTTCTATTCCAGTCATGTTTTACATTTAAAGGGACACAAACTTTTTATTTCTGTATTTGCCAGGAAAGAAGAATAATGACCTTAGTATTTTAATGAGAAATGCTTCAATTTGGAATCAATTCCAACATAATCAGTTTGTTGTCACCCTGTATGTGAAAAATGCCGGTGATAATTTTTGTTGCATATAAACTGTGTGCATAATTCCACTGTGATGATGGCACAAACTTGCTCAACCTTTGCCAATACTTCTTGTTAGTTTTCTTCCTAGTACTGCTGCTAGGATTTCCTAGAACGAAGACAGTCGTCTTTGCAAGTACTGGATAGAATGAAGACAGTCGTCTTTGCCAGTACTGGATAGAACGGAGACAGTCGTCTTTGCCAGTACTACTGGTGGGATTTCCTAGAAGGGAGACAGTTGTCTTTGTCAGTACTGGATAGAACGGAGACAGTCGTCTTTGCCAGTACTGGATAGAATGAAGACAGTCGTCTTTGCCAGTACTGGATAGAACGGAGACAGTCGTCTTTGCCAGTACTACTGGTGGGATTTCCTAGAAGGGAGACAGTTGTCTTTGTCAGTACTGGATAGAACGGAGACAGTCGTCTTTGCCAGTACTACTGGTGGGATTTCCTAGAAGGGAGACAGTTGTCTTTGTCAGTACTGGATAGAACGGAGACAGTCGTCTTTGCCAGTACTACTGGTGGGATTTCCTAGAAGGGAGACAGTTGTTTTTGTCAGTACTGGATAGAACGGAGACAGTCGTCTTTGCCAGTACTACTGGTGGGATTTCCTAGAACAGAGACAGTTGTTTTTGTCAGTACTGGATAGAACGGAGACAGTCGTCTTTGCCAGTACTACTGGTGGGATTTCCTAGAACAGAGACAGTTGTTTTTGTCAGTACTGGATAGAACGGAGACAGTCGTCTTTGCCAGTACTGTGTAGTTGGTTTCACATAGATTTCACACGTTGTTTTTCTGTCATGCTAACCTGTAGATAAACATGATATTTATTGTGTCTGAGAGTGGGACAGACTCAGGCTTGTATTGCGTGTATGCATACTGGATCATCCAGTGTTTCATATAGATGTTCTGTTCTAAATAACCTGGCATCACAGTGGCTTCATACACCACCAAAACTAGCAGGACACTGTAATGTTTCACATCCAACAAGGGGAGGCAACTAAAGCAGGTTTCAATTCTAACTGGAAACAGACACAACCTAAAGAAACAGGATTTGGAAGATGTGGTTGTATGACTTGCCGATCAGTAACATGTTGCTTTCCCTCCACTAGCCTGTCAAGGATTTCAATATCCCTCCACTAGCCTGTGAAGGATTTCAATATCCCTCCACTATCCTGTCAAGGATATTAGTATCCCAGTATTTGCTGATCAGTAACTCATTACAAACCTGAATGTTGCCAGTTCTCCCCTGTCCCCCCACTGGGGAGTCTACCAGCCTGGCCTGTTTATGTCCCGTGAATGAGTGAGTGAGTCAGTAAGTGTTGTGTGAGGGGAGTTATTCCATGTTGCCTGAATTCTGTGACAGCTGTGTTTAAACTATCAGGGTGTGTCTAACAATCACTTCTCTTCACTTTGTCAGTAGAGCATTAAACTGTCAGTAGCCAGTCTCTTCTTGTGTTCTTTGTTCCCAGGCAAAAATACTCCAGCTCAAGGCCATACTTCTCCCTGGCCATTGTCTTACCCTACAATAACACAACCAAGTCACATTGTGGGGACCAGATCTACACTGTTACCGTACAATAACACAACCAAGTCCCATTGTGGCCATCAGATCTACACTGTTACCCTACAATAACACACAACCAAGTCACATTGTGGCCATCAGATCTACACTGTTACCCTACAATAACACAACCAAGTCACATTGTGGTCACCAGGTCCACACTGTTACCCTACAATAACACACACCCATGTCACATTGTGGCCACCAGATCTACACTGATAACCCTACAATAACACAACCAAGCCACATTGTGGCCACCAGATCTACACTGTTACCCTACAATAACACACACCCCTGTCACATTGTAGCAACCAGATCTACACTGTTACCCTACAATAACACAACTATCTCACATTGTGGCCACCAGATCTACACTGTTACCCTACAATAACACACACCCATGTCACATTGTGGCCACCCGATCTACACCGTTACCCTACAATAGCACAACCAAGTGATGTTGTGGCCACCAGATCTACACTGTTACCCTACAATAACACACACCCATGTCACATTGTGGCAACCAGATCCACTATGGGTACACTACAATAACACAACTATGTCACATTGTGGCCACCAGATCTACACTGTTACCCTACAATAACACACAACCAAGTGATGTTGTGGCCACCAGATCTACACTGTTACCCCACAATAACACACACCCATGTCACCTTGTGGCCACCAGATCTACACTGTTACCCTACAATAACACAACCAAGTCACATTGTGGCCACCAGATCTACACTGTTACCCTACAATAACACACACCCATGTCACATTGTGGCCACCAGATCTACACTGTTACCCTACAATAACACACACCCATGTCACATTGTGGCAACCAGATCCACTATGGGTACACTACAATAACACATCTATATCACATTGTGGCCACCAGATCTACACTGTTACCCTACAATAACACACAACCAAATCATGTTGTGGCCACCAGATCTACACTGTTACCCTACAATAACACACAACCAAGTCACATTGTGGCCACCAGGTCCACGCTTTTATCCTACAATAACACAACTATGTCACATTGTGGCCACCACCTCTACACTGTTACCCTACAATAACACAACCAAGTCACATTGTGGCCACCAGGTCCACACTGTTACCCTACAATAACACACAACCAAGCCACATTGTGGCCACCAGATCTACACTGTTACCCTACAATAACACAACCAAGTGATGTTGTAGCCACCAGATCTACACTGTTACCCTACAATAACACAACTATGTCACATTGTGGCCACCAGATCTACACTGTTACCCTACAATAACCCAACCAGGTCACATTGTGGCCACCAGCTCTACACTTACCCTACAATAACACACACCCATGTCACATTGTGGCCACCAGATCTACACTGTTACCCTACAATAACACAACCAAGTCATGCTGTGGCCACCAGGTCCACACTGTTACCCTACAATAACACAACTATGTCACATTGTGGCCACCAGATCTACACTGTTACCCTACAATAACACAACCAAGTCATGTTGTGGCCACCAGGTCCACACTGTTACCCTACAATAACACAACTATGTCACATTGTGGCCACCAGATCTACACTGTTACACTACAATAACACAACCAAGTCATGTTATGGTCACCAGATCCACACTGTTACCCTACAATAACACAACTATGTCACATTGTGGCCAACAGATCTACACTGTTACCCTACAATAACACAACCAAGTCACATTGTGGCCACCAGATCTTCACTGTTACCCTACAATAACACAACCAAGTCATGTTGTGGTCACCAGGTCCACACTGTTACCCTACAATAACACAACTATGTCACATTGTGGCCACCAGATCTACACTGTTACCCTACAATAACACAACCAAGTCATGTTATGGTCACCAGATCCACACTGTTACCCTACAATAACACAACTATGTCACAATGTGGCCACCAGATCTACACTGTTACCCTACAATAACACAACCAAGTCATGTTGTGGTCACCAGGTCCACACTGTTACCCTACAATAACACAACTATGTCACACTGTGGCCACCAGATCTACACTGTTACCCTACAATAACACAACCAAGTCATGTTGTGGCCACCAGGTCCACACTGTTACCCTACAATAACACACACCCATGTCACATTGTGGCCACCAGATCTACACTGATAACCCTACAATAACACAACCAAGCCACATTGTGGCCACCAGGTCCACACTGTTACCCTACAATAACACACACCCATGTCACATTGTGGCCACTAGATCTACACTGTTACCCTACAATAACACAACCAAGTGATCTTGTGGCCACCAGATCTACACTGTTACACTACAACAACACACAACCAAGTCACATTGTGGCCACCAGGTCCACGCTTTTACCCTACAATAACACAACTATGTCACATTGTGGCCACCACCACTACACTGTTACCCTACAATAACACAACCAAGTCACATTGTGGCCACCAGGTCCACACTGTTACCCTACAATAACACACACCCATGTCACCTTGTGGCTACCAGATCTACACTGTTACCCTACAATAACACAACCAAGTCACATTGTGGCCACCAGATCTACACTGTTACCCTAAAATAACATAACAAAGTCACATTGTGGCCACCAGATCTACACTGTTACCCTACAATAACACACACCCTAGTAACATTGTGGCCACCAGATCTACACTGTTACCCTACAATAACACACACCCATGTCACATTGTGGCCACCAGATCTACACTGTTACCCTACAATAACACACACCCATGTCACATTGTGGCAACCAAATCCACTATGGGTACACTACAATAACCCATCTATGTGACATTGTGGCCACCAGATCTACACTGTTACCCTACAATAACACACAACCAAGTCACATTGTGGCCACCAGGTCCACGCTTTTATCCTACAATAACACAACTATGTCACATTGTGGCCACCACCTCTACACTGTTACCCTACAATAACACAACCAAGTCACATTGTGGCCACCAGGTCCACACTGTTACCCTACAATAACACAACCAAGTGATGTTGTGGCCACCAGATCTACACTGTTACCCTACAATAACACAACTATGTCATATTGTGGCCACCAGATCTACACTGTTACCCTACAATAACACAACCAAGTCACATTGTGGCCACCAGCTCTACACTGTTACCCTACAATAACACACACCCATGTCACATTGTGGCCACCAGATCTACACTGTTACCCTACAATAACACAACCAAGTCATGTTGTGGCCACCAGATCTACACTGTTACCCTACAATAACACAACTATGTCACATTGTGGCCACCAGATCTACACTGTTACCCTACAATAACACAACCAAGTCATGTTATGGTCACCAGATCCACACTGTTACCCTACAATAACACACACCCATGTCACATTGTGGCAACCAGATCCACTATGGGTACACTACAATAACCCATCTATGTCACATTGTGGCCACCAGATCTACACTGTTACCCTACAATAACACACAACCAAGTCACATTGTGGCCACCAGGTCCACGCTTTTATCCTACAATAACACAACTATGTCACATTGTGGCCACCACCTCTACACTGTTACCCTACAATAACACAACCAAGTCACATTGTGGCCACCAGGTCCACACTGTTGCCCTACAATAACACACAACCAAGCCACATTGTGGCCCACCAGATCTACACTGTTACCCTACAATAACACAACCAGGTGATGTTGTGGCCACCAGATCTACACTGTTACCCTACAATAACACAGCTATGTCACATTGTGGCCACCAGATCTACACTGCTGCCCTACAATAACACAACCAAGTCACATTGTGGCCACCGGCTCTACACTGTTACCCTACAATAACACACACCCATGTCACATTGTGGCCACCAGATCTACACTGTTACCCTACAATAACACAACCAAGTCATGCTGTGGCCACCAGGTCCACACTGTTGCCCCCTACAATAACACAACTATGTCACATTGTGGCCACCAGATCTACACTGTTGCCCTACAATAACACAACCAAGTCATGTTGTGGCCACCAGGTCCACACTGTTACCCTACAATAACACAACTATGTCACATTGTGGCCACCAGATCTACACTGTTACCCTACAATAACACAACCAAGTCATCTTATGGTCACCAGATCCACACTGTTACCCTACAATAACACACACCCATGTCACATTGTGGCCACCAGATCTACACTGTTACCCTACAATAACACACAACCAAGTCACATTGTGGCCACCAGGTCCACGCTTTTATCCTACAATAACACAACTATGTCACATTGTGGCCACCACCTCTACAATGTTACCCTACAATAACACAACCAAGTCACATTGTGGCCACCAGGTCCACACTGTTACCCTACAATAACACACAACCAAGCCACATTGTGGCCACCAGATCTACACTGTTACCCTACAATAACACAACCAAGTGATGTTGTGGCCACCAGATCTACACTGTTACCCTACAATAACACAACTATGTCACATTGTGGCCACCAGATCTACACTGTTACCCTACAATAACACAACCAAGTCACATTGTGGCCACCGGCTCTACACTGTTACCCTACAATAACACACACCCATGTCACATTGTGGCCACCAGATCTACACTGTTACCCTACAATAACACAACCAAGTCATGCTGTGGCCACCAGGTCCACACTGTTACCCTACAATAACACAACTATGTCACATTGTGGCCACCAGATCTACACTGTTACCCTACAATAACACAACCAAGTCATGTTGTGGCCACCAGGTCCACACTGTTACCCTACAATAACACAACTATGTCACATTGTGGCCACCAGATCTACACTGTTACCCTACAATAACACAACCAAGT